AACAATTCATGAATTTTAAAAATATTTTTATCTTTAGCCTTAAGCATTTTTTAGGTCAAAGCCTACATACTCTATCATGTGAAATGACCTCTGCTGATTTAAAACTCAAAGTTTTGTGTTTTGTTTTTTTTTTTTTTTTTTTTGATAGGCAGAATTAGACAGTGAAAGAGAGAGAGAGAAAGGTCTTCCTTCTGTTGGTTCACCCCCCAAATGGCTACTACGGCCGGCGTGCTGTGCCAGTCCGAAGCCAGGAGCCAGGTGCTTCCTCCTGGTCTCCCATGTGGGTGCAGGGCCCAAGGACTTGAGCCATCCTCCACTGCCTTCCCGGGCCACAGCAAAGAGCTGGACTGGAAGATCAAAAAGGACAGAATCTGGCACCCCAACTGGGACTAGAACCCAGGGTACTGGTGCCACAGGCAGAGGATTAGCCTAGTGAGCCACGGCGCAGGCCCAACACTCAAAGTTTTAAATATGGATTCATCATCATAATGACCCATCAGCTGCAATACTTTTTAAATAAACTGTCAAAAAATTTAATCACATATGTAGAGAAACTACAACTAGTGAATGAATGCAGTAAAATCATCCATTATGGACGTAGAATGACAAAAAGTTTAGCCTTTTAGGGAGGAAGAAAATAAGCCCCCCCCCCCCAAAAAAAGCAACTTACAGCAGTAAGGGAAGTAAACAGTAGAAGCAATGATCAAACAAGAAAGCTTTGCTGTTCTTAGCTAGGAAACGGAGCAGCACTTGCATTCATCTGGCCAGTGAAAGCATGTATTACTGGTGATACCTTGTATCGGGGACTCCCTAAAGATTCTACATAGGACCAGCACTACAGCACAGAGGTTAAGCTGCCACCTGCAGTATCAGCATCCCATATGGGGGCCAGTTCCAGATGTTCCACTTCCAATTCAGCTCCCTGGGAAAGCAGCAGAGGATGGTCCAAGTACTTGGACCCCTGCACCCACATGGGAGACCCAGAAGAAGCTCCTGGCTTCAGCCTGGCCCTGTCATGTCCATTGGGTCATTTGGGGAGTGAACCAACAGATGGAAGATCTATGTCTATCTCCTTCTTTGTAACTCTGCTTTTCAAATAAATAAGTAAATCTTTAAAAAAATACTTTATGTGATCTTTGCAAATGATAAGAGTATCCAATTTGAGGGCCAACATGATGGTGAAGTAGATAAAGTCGCCACCTGCAGTGCCGGCATCCTATATGGGCACTGGTTCAAGTCCTGGCTGCTCCACTTCCAATCCAGCTCTATGATATGGCCTGGGAAGGCAGTGGAAGATGGCCCAAGTCCTTGGGCTCCTGCACCTGCATGGGAGACCCAGAAGAAGCTCCAGGGTTCTGGCTTTGGATCGACCCAGCTCTGGCCGTCATGGCCAACTGGAGAGTAAACCAGCGAATAGAAGACCTTCTCTCTTTCTCTCTCTCTCTCTCTCTCTCTCTCCCCCCCACTGCCTCTCAAATAAATAAATCTTTTAAAAAATGTTATTTGTACTAGAATGGCTGTTTCAGTGGGAAAAATTATTTCCTGTGTTCATTTCTCGAATTTATGTAGAAGTTATAATCAGAGTAAACTGAACAAAGAAAACAGAGAAACAATTTCCAAAAAGAACAAAAAAGAGAATGTAGAACACACAGAATAGTCTCTCCACTGTGTGCTGGTGATGCTCAAAGTTTCAAGAATGATGAATTGGGGAAAACTAAAAGCATGCGTATGCTCACATACACACACACACACACACACTGCAGACTAATCAGTTATTTCTTCAAAAAATTACTGAGCATCTTCCAAATGGCAGGTGCCATCCTTAAAGATCCAGCACAGAACCAACCCATAAAGTTTCTCATGCAATCTTGTCTTCCAGTCGGGAATAGACATTAACAAATTAATATAAAACCTAACAGCTGGAGGCATCAGGAACTATAAAGAAAACTGATGTTGGACAAGAAGACAGCATGACACAGAGATGCTCTTTTGTCAGGAGTCGTCTGAGGAAGAGCCTTGTGAGCAAAGGCCGCATGGGAGAGAGAAGGCAGGTCCCAGGGAGACGGATGCTCTGGTGGGAAGGAGAAGAGAACCCACGGGTCCAAGTGCCGAAGTGAGAGCGTGGGCTCCAGTGGCACCAGCGCGGGACAGGGAGCAGCGAGAGGATTCTCGAGATAGGAGAGGCACGAAGGAGAAAGCTGACACCAGGGAAGCAGGAACAAAAGCAAGAGGTTCAGCCAGTGTCCCCTGCATCAGCACAGGCAAAGGTGGTGGTGACCAGGCAGTGCGGCCACCGTGGACACAGAGGAATAAGGGGTCAGACTGTGGTGTTGTTGCTGAGGGACTCAACGTAGGATCTGAAGAGCCAGACACAAGCCTGGAATGACAACGTATAAGCCTTCTTCCCTTTTCCTGGTGAACACAAGTCACCACTAAGGAGAAGTCTGAGGCAGGACCACCTTCAGGGCTGGGCAAGATGAAGACTGCTTTGATGCACTCGGATTGCAGATGCAGAGAGACCAGGTCACCAGTCAGAGCTGGCTGGTAAGTAACTGGATTTCCAAGACCTAGGGTGAACCATTAATAAAGCCAGCAGGGACACAGATACACGAAGAAGTAGAGAGGTGTGTGTGGAGATGTGTGTACAGCAAGGCTGAGTGAAGAAAGCCACAGCAAGAGTCACCAGGGGGAGAAGGAGGAGAGCCCTGACCGTCACGCCATGGCTACACTGGCACTGTGAGGCAGTTTGCAATGAGAATCCATTATTTCAGTAATTCATCTTGTTCTCCCCCAAATAATGCAGCTAGTGAGGGAGGGAGGGGAATGAAACCCAGAGAGCCACGAAGATAACAAAACACGACTACGAAAACAATGCTCAGGGGCCAGCGCTGTGACGTAGTGGGTGCAGTGTCGGCATCTCATATGGTCGCCGGTTCGAGTCCTGGCTGTTCCACTTCTGCTCCAGCTCTCTGCTGTGGCCTGGGAAAGCAGTGGAATATGGCCCAAGCTCTTGAGCCCCTGCACCCGTGTGAGAGACCCGGAAGAAGTTCCTGGCTCCTGGCTTCGGGTCAGCGTAGCTCTGGCTGTTGCAGCCAAATGGGGAGTGAACCAGCGGATAGAAGACCCCCCCATTCTCTCTGCCTCTCCTTCTCTCATTGTGTAACTTTCAAGTAAAATAACTAAATCTGTTTTAAAAAAGAAAAAAAATGCTCAGCCACGTTGCAGATTTCTTTTCCCCCAATTTTTCGGCCTCTGGACATTCACGCGTGGACATGATCCAGTTCCCTTTTTCCCTTTTTAGACACCGTTCATTATTGCCTGCTTGTTCTAAGACACATGGGATGATGCTGAACGCAGAGCTGTCAAGCACGTAGCTCAGACGTTTAATGCTTTTGATTTTGGCATCTGTGCTTCGACAGTGGGCCCTGCTCTCCAGTTCACTGAGGCTCTCCCAGCACTTTCCCACTCGGCTCATGCTCCTAGGACGCTGCCTGGTGTCAGGGAACAGCTGCACGCTCTGTCCCTGCTCCTCACCGCTCCGTGGTTGGTCCTCCCTTGAAAAATCCGAAGCACATTTTCAATTTAAAAAAAAAAATCATTTGTAAACCTCACTTTTAAATGGTCATTTTCACATCTACTTCTTTGCACATTTCTAATAGGGCATCATTACTGTCTGTCTTGTGTATTTGAGCAACCCCTCAAGAACTCACTGCAGGGGCTGGCGCTGTGGCGCAGCGGGTTAACACCCTGGCCTGAAGCACTAGCGTCTCATATGGGTGCCGGTTCGAGACCTGACTGCTCTACTTCTGATCCAGCTCTCTGCTGTAAGCTGGGAAAGCAGAAGAGGGCCCAAGTCCTTAGGCCCCTGCAACTGCGTGGGAGACCTGGAAGAAATTCCTGGCTCCTGGCTTCAGATCAGCACAGCTCTGGCCATTGTAGCCATCTGGGGAGTGAACCAGCGGATGGAAGACTTCTCTATCTCTCCCTTTCTCTCCTTCTCTCTCTGTGTAACTCTTTCAAGTAAATAAATAAATCTGTAAAAAAAAAAAAAAAAAGTCACTGCAAGTAGCCAATGCAGTGAAGATGGACTACAGTCTCCCATCAGCTCATTCTACACGCGCTCCCCGCGGGCCAGCATGAGGCTAGACACAAGGGATTTGCTGGCGACTAGGACAGAGCCCCTGCCCTGATGGGCCTGTTTGGTGGGGGGAGGCTTATTATGCATGCACATTTTAAAGCAAATGTTGGGTAGTGCAAAGTGCAGGGAATACAGTAAAAATACGCAAGAATGGAGTGTGGCAGAGAGAGGCACAGGGAATGCTCTCAAGTTTGGTAGCCAGAGAAAGCATCCTGGGAGGGAGGGGGGCTATCATCTGGGCGCCAGGCTCCAGGAAGAGGAGGCAGGCACAGAGCAGCAGAGGACAGAGCCACCTGTGGACAAGGAGCAGGGCAGAGGACTGGCAGCCCAGAGGGAGGGGAGGCAGGCAGTGTGGCTGGAGGTCGTAGGAAGGGAAGGCCAATCCTGGTGAGCTCGCTGACCACAGGAAACAATCTGGATCTTTATTTCCATCGTAATAGGAAACTCCCATAAAGTTACACAGACACAGTGCACGCCGGTTTGGGCTCAGAGGTCACTGTGGCAGTTACGTAGAGCGCGGAGTGTCGGGAGCGAAAGCAAAAGCAGGGAGACCAGTTCGGAGGCTGCAACCAGATCCAGCCAAGAGACGAGCCAGTATTTCAATAGCTGTGGTGGTGAGAAGTGTGGAAATGCAGGACAGAGTCTCGAGCGGCTCTCAACAGGACCTGCTAGCACAATCAGATTTCTGGGTGTGAATGAACAAGAACCAGTGCTCCCCACCCCATACACACTCCGAGTGAGCTGAGCCTAACCACGGGCTTTCTAAGGACTCATCTCGCTGGGGTGTTTGTAGAGAGCACTGGCAACAAGTACCAGAAAAACCAATCATGCAATGCAAAACATACCACACTGGCGCACTTACCCAAATTGGGATCAGGAACCTGACGTTTCTTCATTTTAGCTTCGGAAATAGCAGAATAATAGGCACAAGTCATCTTGATTAGCCACGTTGCTCGAACCATTGGCACTGAATATTTAGCTAAATATGCAAAAACATCCTCCTTTTTACTAAGGATGGGAACCTAAAAAGAAATCACATATTTACAAAAATTGCATACTGTATGCATCACTGGATAAACCTAAAAACAGAAGAGGCCAAACAAAGAGGCTACTGCTGCTATAAGGCAATGTCTCTTTCATGCATTTTCAGACAATACATGCGATCACAAAGAAAGCAAGAAACATTTTAAGCCAATTTTCATTAAGAAAAATCAAAACCATGTTTAGCACAGTGGCAAAACAGTTTAATCAGTTGTGCTTTCTTATTTATAAACCAAATTATCTTCAAATTCTCAGATGCTGAAAGCTACTCACCTTAACAGATCAGAGAAAAATAATTTCATGACATTTCTCCAAAGAGTTTATCTTGAAATTGAAAGGGACAGATCCAGCAAAAAAAAAAAAAAAAAAGCCCCATGCCACACCTTACCCAGGAACACTTCTTCGTATAAAGCTTTCCAACTAACATTTCATAAGAGTAACAATTTCCAGAAAGCTTCCAAAACTGCCCTGAGCCCAAAATTTAAAATAGAGGCTAACATGATGGATCGGTGAATCTGCCTAATAAACACCGTGCTAGAAATAGCTGCGTAATTAATTCACTGGTTGAAAGTAGGCACTTGAGGCGGTTAATTATTTCTTCCAGACCACAAAGGTACCATTTAGCAAATTAGTATCCCAATGTACCACTGAATGGTTTGAAAGAGTTAATTCATTCTTCTAGATTCCCTCATAAATATCCGAGGAATAGCCCCTCCGTCTCTGTGTCCATTCAACTTATGAATGCAGAAAACAACAGGGCACAAAGGGGACGTCAGCCGCGAGGCAGCAGCGTGGGAGTGAGACCAGGAGCTGCCACCATGCCCTGCACCAGGACAAGCACGGCAGTGCTCTTTTCCCAGGCCCAGGCCCACACGCCGCTCCTAGGAACTGCGACCAACATCAGCACCGCTTCACCTCACAGGCCGGGTACGAGGATAAAGCAAAGAACTATGTGTGTCGAAATTATAACAATGACTACTGTGCTGCCCATTCCAAGGATTTCCCCATGCCTCTCAAAGTGTTTTCAAGCCAAGGACTTGCGCTCCTCTTAGAGGATTCCCCGACATCACAGCACAACCATGAGATCAGAGCCCTGGTCTCTCTGCCCCAAACTCATACTTGATTTTGTGTTGAAACATCAAGGCTTCCGTCCAGCTGATTCATGTAGCATGGCATTTTTCTCTTAGCCAAATTCTCATTTATACAGTGCATGTTTTGCATCATGTGTTACAAATCTGTCTGTTCATACACTCGGTATATAGGAGATCCTAGAATTAAAACGTTAAGTATTTCCTGCTCATGGCACCTAAAAGCAGGCTGTTTTTCCGGGTCTTATCACCAAGGAAACCTCCAGCTGTTGCAACGCTGAAGGCAAAGCTGCCCAGGCTGGACGCCGAGATGCAGCACCCCATACGCTGTGGTGTCTGTGTGCGTGCTGCCTTCAGAACACAGCCCCGTGACGGAGGTGACCGTACTGCACAAACACAGCTAACAGGGAGCAGAAGTCACTGAGGCCAGAGCTACAAGGCTTCCTCTCAGCAGACCTCGGTGATACATTTTACCTAGAAAACTTCCTGAAAATTTAGCTTCTAGGGCACATCCTTCTTTGAGGGCAAGGTCATGGGCTTAAATGACCAGCATTTAAATCAGGGACAAGAAAGCATAGGGTTAAATATTTATTTTCAAGACAGCAGTGGTAGCTTTATAGAATATAGATTCTATAGAATCAGTGGTTTAAATTTTAGTTGTCAAGGACAGGTTGCCTCTCATTCAGACACACCCAAAGGTTAGAAGACCAAGGCCTAAAATATAGGCAAATGCAAAATGAAGTCAGCTTCTCCAAAGAATCACTACTAATAATATCTTTCATAGATGCCTAAAGGATTTCTTTTGAATAGCAATCGGCAGGTCAAAAAAAAAAAAAAAAAAAAAAACATTTGAACATATTTAAAGTTTAGATGAAACATAGCCAACAAAATTGAACCATGGATCTTACATTAATGCGACAAAGCACTGCCCCTGCTCCCAGAACCCAAAGAGAACAGGCTGGCTTTAGAATTTAGAACTTTAGAATTTAGAATAGGGCTTTAGAATTCAGAAAAACATACAGGATGGGAAGGAGGTCAATGAAGGGAGAAGCCATGTTACAGTCTGGGCCAACTCAGGAGAGGAACATATTCATTCTGACCAGCACTGCTTCCTTACAGTGATGAGTTCCAAGTCTTCAGTAAAGAAACCATCTGACTTGAACCTGTAGCTGAAACTAGGCAACCACCGAGGCTGCTGTTTGGTTTCTACATCAAGCTAGAGTTGCATCTAAGCACCAAAACAAAGTTAAGATACCCAGCATGTGTCGCTTTTCCATTGACAAAAAGAACTGTCCACCTATCGCATTTCGCTTTGGATCTGCATCCCCTGTTTGCTAAGCAAGGGTGGAGGTGAAAGAAATCCCACACAGCACAGTAATCAAAGCCACCTGCAGTGAACAGGTGAGGACCAATGGGCTGTTCAAGAGCTGAAGACTGTCCCCAGATGCCAGAAGTCTGCCTCTCCCTATCAGGCTACAGTTAGGATGGAGGTAGAAGGGTCTTTACAGACCCCTCTGTGGCTGAACACCTGGAGCGCTTTAAAATCTGTATGAACAGAAAACCAGGTCCACAGAGTCCAGAAACAAACCTGCTCATACAGCAAACCCCTCTCAGTCTGAGATAAGACTTCAAAGAAGATGCAGGACTCCAGCAGGTAAATCAAGGTTTTCTGCCTTGGGCCATCTCACAGATGAATCCCAGAAATCGAAGATAAAGCATCTGAACTTGCTAAAATGAAGAACATGCAGGGAATGCAGTCCTTTACCCAACTCTGAAAGAGCAGGCACCACCTCAAGATGCTATGCTAAGCAGGGGACAGGAATGCCTTTTGAAATGCCCAAGAAATGAACACTTCCAGGTATATGTCAATGGTTACAAAGAAAAAACATCTTTAAGTTACAAAGAATTAATGCCAGGGCTTACCTGAGGAACACCTGACTTGGCCAGAGGCAGCTCCTAATAAAGAAAGAAGAACAATGGCTAATGCACTGCACCATGGTAATTCACCTCCCTCCTAAAAGAGGAGACACCACTGCACCCCTAAGCTAGGGCATCAATCCCTCAGCAGTACTCACGTTCAGGGAACATTCAACAATGCATCCTAGAAGCTTTGTAAAAAGACAAACCTAAAGAGACAGCTGCCAGGCTGGCAACAGCAGAACATGAACCACTAATCAAAAGCCACCAAATACTGAAGGCTGTCCGATGACTTATATGGCTTTCAGACGCAACCCATAGGCCACAGTAGGATCAAAAAGTGAAAGTTCACCACTGGAAAAAGAAGTGCTCCCTGGTCCAGCCTGGGTTGAGATGGCAGCACTACCTGCCCAGTAAGAGGGATAGTTCTGTTCACACTTGTGCTTTTTAAGAATTACCCTTGCCTGTAATCTCTGAAACCTAGGCAAGGCAATAGGATGTTATGACATTAAGGCAAAATAAAGCCAATGCAAGCTTTAGGCACTATTTTCAAAGAGTTGCTTTAGAAAATACACAAGTACACAAAGGATTTCTCCTCTAAACTCGGTCCTTGTTAAGCCAAGAATGAACACTTAACACCAGAAACAGAAGACAGGTACCCCCAAAACTAACAGGCTGCAGGCAAGATAAGAGAAGACCCACGGAATTATCCAGAAGGTGTGCAAAAAGTTAGAGAGCAAAACTAAGAGGGACGTTCCCAGCTTCTTATGTGAAATTTCAAGATATTTTATATGGTGTGGACTGGAAGAGTGTTGAATCTTATGTTATTTCTCACTTGATGAAAATGACCAAAAGCAAAGACTTTAAAAGAACCTGCCACAACCCCTTAGCAAAAATGACGGAGGTCACAGACACAAGCTCACACAGAATCACAATCTTGGTTTCACTGCCTTAAGGAGACCGAGCTGGAAGCATCTGGATGAATACCGTTGAAGACAAGGAAATAACCTCCTAGCAAAGATGTTTTTTAACAAATCTTGGACTTCTTGACCTAAGAAAACTAAAAATGTAATTGAAAAATCTTCTTAAAAAAAAAAAAAAAACTCTTAATGCCTATTCTTGATTTGGAATCTTGTCTATCTGAAGTCTACAAGAACTGCTCACTGTGTGGAATGACTAGCATTACAGATGTCCTAGGCACCACATGCAATCAACATAAAGGGGAAGGCACCATTGGAGCAGCATACACATGGTGCCATACATCCCCCCCCCGCCCCGCCCCGCCCCGCCATCTAGGCTCCCAGTGTTTCAGAGAACTGGTGAATTGAAAAACACTCGAGCATCATTTCAGACAGCTTCATTTTTATAAGATCAAATGTTAAAGTACTTGATACCTTTTTTGCCAAAATAGCAAGTGGTTTATTTCCTGCTAAGTCAGAGAACCAGCTGTGAATTGCACTCTGGGACCGACCAGTAACCAGCCAATAATTATCTTTAGCATTAACTTGCGGCTTCTTCTTTCCAGTATCTTGGAAAGTGTTAAGCTTTAGTTTCTCAGCTAATATGCTGCTAAAATAAGCTCCAATCTGTGGAAAGAAAAGGGGAAAGAGAAAGGTTTAAGGTAATAAACAAGTATCTTAGTACCATGTGTGAGTATTTTATCTCTATTGTCTGAATTTAAAATCTCCATTCAGCCAATCAGAAAATAAGTTAGTGATTTAAGTCATAAAGTCACAAACTGGGATTTCCTTGCACCAACAAAATGGCAAAATTCACACAGAACCTTTTTCTGCTATTAACAAGTAACTCAAGGAAAAAGAGCCCTTGGAAATCTGGTAAGATGAAACTAATTACGTGCTGAACAAATTTCAAGAGAATGGGTCTGCTCTAATCGTCAGTGGTACTTTCTCCTTCTTCTTACCACAACCCTTGGGGCAACAGCAGCTTCCCAGGGAGGCACTGCATACAAGAGAGGAATCCTAGTAGTCACACAGTCATCATTCCTTTTCTTGTTTCATCTTAACAGAACATATTTTTAGAAAAGAAACTGTTTACACTCAAAGCTTTAAAGAAAAAAGAGTCTGGAGAAATTTATTTAAATGGCAAATTACAAAAGGTTCAATTAAATCAGGCATTCAACATTTTTGATCGGGCTGTCAATATCATAAGTACAAGGGTTTCTAGAGGAAGCTGGTGTAACTTGCTCTGAATGGAACTAAGCAGCAAGTGGAGCTTCTGCAGGTTACTAACATTTTCATATTAACCAAATGACAAGACGGCCAGGGCAAGGAGAAAGGGACAGGAGAGGCAAGAAGGAAGGGAATAAAGCAACATCTAAAAACTCAGTGACTCCATAGAAAATCTGTTGGGAGTTTTCAAGTATCTTCTAAAAGCATCACATTTCATCCCCCAGGGATTCTTTAATATATGATGCAAACGATAAATACCCGCCATAAGGTTAACAGTGGCAATCATGATTAAAGTGAAAAATCCATCCCAGGGAAGCAAAATAAAAAGTTGTCAACTTCATTAATACTCATCAGTCAACAAATAACCAGTCCACAAGACAGAACACAACAGCAGTAAGCTAGGAGCCAAGTTTATCTACCAGGGTAAAAAGTTGGTACAATTTGCTTCTTTTAAGTTTTTCTCTCTCTTTTTTTTTTTTTTTTTTTTTTTTTTTTTTTTTTTTTTTTAAGGCAGAGTTACAGAGAGGGAGTGAGAAGGTGGGGAGAGAGGTCTTCCATCTGCTGGTTCACTCTCCAAATGGCCTGCAATGGCCAGGGCTGGGCAAGGCGGAAGCCAGCAGCTTCTTCCGGGTCTTCCACAGGGGTGCAGGGGCCCGAGCACTTGGGCCATCTTCTGCTGGTTTTCCCAGGTAATTAGCAGGGAGCTGGATGAGAAGTGGAGCAGCCAGTACTTGAAACGGTGCCCAAACGAGATGTGGGTGTCACAGGCAATGACTTAAACTACTATACCACAGCATCGGCCCCACAATTTGTTTCCAATACGAATCAGCACTCCTTGATCCTTGTGGCTAATCTATGATAAAATGTCTGTTTTGGTATTGATGTCCTACGGAAATAAAAGCTAGAGTAAACAGATGTCTTGTATTTGTGATGATCCTGTGTATACGCATATAATAAATTTACATGTTTTCCCTTTTATAAACAAAACTAAAGAAAAACAGAAGTCTGGATGTCTCTTTTTAAGCAAGCAAATTCACTGTAGCTTTTACATTTTTTAAGAGAATGTTTGCAGAATGTCCAGTGAGCAAATTAAGTGCAAAAATGTAGAACAACCAGTTGTGTTTAGAAACTACCATCCGGCCGGCACCGTGGCTCACTAGGCTAATCGGCGGAGGATTAGCCTAGTGAGCCGCGGCGCCGGCCCTTTTTTTTTTTTTTTTTAACAGGCAGAGTGGACAGTAAGAGAGACAGAGAGAAAGGTCTTCCTTTTGCCGTTGGTTCACCCTCCAATGGCCGCCGCCGCCGGCACGCTGCGGCTGGCGCACCACGCTGATCCGATGGCAGGAGCCAGGTACTTATCCTGGTCTCCCATGGGGTGCAGGGCCCAACCACTTGGGCCATCCTCCACTGCACTCCTTGGCCACAGCAGAGAGCTGGCCTGGAAGAGGGGCAACCGGGACAGAATCAGGCGCCCCGACCGGAACTAGAACCCGGGGAGCCGGTGCTGCAAGGCGAAGGATTAGCCTAGTGAGCCGCGGCGCCGGCCCCAACTGTTTACTTTTAAATTTTTTAATCAATATTTGGGTTTTGCACCAAGGACCCAAAGGACATAGCACTGAAGATTTGTTTTTTTGGTTCAGCAGGTATAGAGAGGCAGAGAGCTCGCATTCACTGGTTTGCTCTACAAATAACCACAGCAGCCAGAGATGAACCAGGGCTGGACCACAATGCAGATCTCCCATGTGGGTGGCAGGAACCCAAATACTTGAGCCATCACCACTGTCTCCTAAGGTCTGCACTGGCAGGAGACTAAAATCAGGAGCCAGAGGTCAGTATCAACCCCAGGTATTCTAACCTGGGCTTTAGGCATCATAACCACAAAGATTGTTCTAGATTTAAAATGTCCCTTTTTTGCAGTTATATTTGAGCATTTTAATCATAAGAAATCAATGTATAAGAGAAAAAGGGCCGTCTGAGCAGTCTGTAGACACAATGCAACACATATGTATTCTACACACTTCCATGATAGCAGTGGAATACAGCGATTGCAGGGTTTTAACTCCTGCAAGCAAACTGTGTAAACAAATACACACTGAAACCAAAATTTCTGAAACAGAAGAGGAGAAAATGCACACTGGTGCTCAAAAAAACATAATTATAGTATTTAATTTCATTATGACGATATTCAAGTTATCTAGAAATCAAAAACTATATTAGAAAGTAAACAGCAGGCCGGCGCTGCGGCTCAATAGGCTAATCCTCCACCTAGCGGCGCCGGCACCCCGGGTTCTAGTCCTGGTTGGGGCGCCGGATTCTTTCCCAGTTGCCCCTCTTCCAGGCCAGCTCTCTGCTGTGGCCAGGGAAGGCAGTGGAGGATGGCCCAAGTGGTTGGGCCCTGCACCCCATGGGAGACCAGGAGAAGCACCTGGCTCCTGCCATCGGATCAGCGCGGTGCGCCGGCCGCAGCGCGCCAGCCTTGGCGGCCATTGGAGGGTGAACCAACGGCAAAAGGAAGACCTTTCTCTCTCTCTCTCTATCCACTCTGCTTGTCAAAAAAAAAAAAAAAAAAGTAAACAGCTTCATTCTCAAGAACTCCAAGTAACCAACTCGTTTAGCCTCTTATGTGTCCTTCCAATGTTTATGCAAACACACATCACCAAACACACATTTGTTACTTTTCTCTCTTGTATGTGCGGGTCACGTGCAAACTTAATAATGTCTGAGAACTTTGCATATCTCCATCTGGAGAACCTCCTCATTCATTTTTATAGATACATAATAGAGGACTGTGTTGACATACCACATTTTATGCAATTAAGGTACTACTAATGAACATTTGGAGTATTTTTCCAAGATTTTTTTCATTACAAATCACATCAAAAATGAATAGCCTTTCACTTTTTTGACTCCACATGCGAAGGTACAACTTTAGAATAATTTTCCTGAACTCAAATTGTATGGTTCTACAATTTTAATAACCACTGCTAAAATACCCTCCAAAGGGTTTAATGTGTGCTCCTTCGTTTCTACCCATTCAAAGCTATTTTGACAGTAATTCATTTGATTAGAAAAAATGTTCCAAAATTATATTCCAGTTCATATACTTCATATTTATATAATCAAGGGCCAGCACTGTGGTGCAGCAGGTTAACCCCCTGGCCTGAAGCACTGGCATCCTATATGGGCACCGGTTCGAGTCCCAGCTGCTTCTCTTCCCATCCAGCTCTCTGCTATGGCCTGGGAGAGCAGTACAAAATGGCCCAAGTCCTTGAGCCCCTGCACCTGTGTGGGAAACCCAGAGGAAGCTCCTGGCTCCTGCCTTCAGATTGGTGCAGCTCCGGCTGTTGTGGCCATCTGGGAAGTGAACCAATGGATGGAAGACCTCTCTCTCTGTCTCTACCTTTCTCTGTAACTCTGTCTTTCAAATAAATAAAATAAAAATTAAAAAAAAAAAAGGACTCCAATATGGGATGTGGGTGTCCCAAGTGTCATCTTACCAAATGGACTAAACACCTACTCTAGAATGCCCTTTAAAAATAAAAATAAAAATAAAAATAAAAATAAAAAAATCAAATTCCTCCCTGAAAGCGTGGGTACTTGAGTGAATCTCAGAGTGATGACAAAAATTATAATGGACACTATCTTTGTTTATTCAGTTATTTAAATTGACAATAAAACGATGTAACTGAGAATAAAATAGCTTTAATATCAAGAGACACACAGCATTCATATTCTGTTATAAACAGTGTCCCCACCAATTCCTACACTGGAGCCCCAAACCTCAATGTGACTGTATTTGGAGATAGGTTTTAAAGACTGGGTAAAGAAAATGTGATAAATATACACTTTGGAATATTACTCAGCCGTAATAAAGAATGAAAGCCTGCCTTTTGCAACAAAGTGGATGCAACTGGAAACCATTATACTTAGTGAAATAAGCTACTCCCAAAAAGACAAATATCATGTCTTCCCTGATATTTGATAATAGAGTACAAAAAACGTAAAGAATTTACAATGCAAATTGCATGAAATAATTCCTGTGCATAATTGTTAAGAGGAAATGGCTTAAAGCCTAAATGAATTATCCTGTAACTGCACAGTAAATAGTATATGCTATACTGTCATTAGTTCTATTTCATTGAAAGAAATTATGAATAACTGACAAAAACGAAACTATATATGGGAGAAATGCTCATTTTTCCATTCAATTATTGTTTATAGGTCTGTCTTCCCACTAAACTAGGGTCTTTTGCTGTTAAGCTTATTTGGTGAAGTATTAAGCTTTTTCGCTGCAAAGTAAATTTAAAATGTTATCTCAAAAAATAAAAAAAGAAAGGTAGAAGGAAGGAGGGTGGGAGGAAGGGAATGTCACTATGTTCTTGGACTTCTATCTACAAACCATACAGAATCTGTTAAAAACTAAGGAGAGGGGGGCGGCCAGCACTGTGGCGTAGTGGGTAAAGTTGCCGCCTGTGGTGCTGGCATCCCATATGGGCACTGGTTCCAGTCTCGGCTGCTCCACTTCTGATCCAGCTCTCTGCTACGGCCTGGGAAAGCAGTAGAGGATGGTCCAAGCTCTTGGGCCCATACACCCACGTGGGAGACCCAGAAGCAGCTCCTGGCTCCTGGCTTCAGATCCGCACAGCTCCGGCCATTGTGGCCAATTGGGGAGTGAACCAGTAGATGGAAGACCTCTCTCCCTCTCTCTGCCTCTCCTTCTTTCTGTGTAACTCTTTCAAATAATAAATAAATCTTTAAAAAACTAATTAACATTTAAATTTAAGAAAAAAAAGAAGTGAGGAATGAACACAGTGGGGCCCCAATCCAATAGCACTGGAATCCTTAAAAAAAAAAAAAAAAAAAAAAAAAAAAAAAAAAAAAAAGGCAGAAACACTGGGAATGAGTGCACGGCAGAGACTACGTGAGGACGCTACAGGAAGGTGCGTCTCCCAAGCCCCAAGAGGCCTTGGAGCAAACAGACCTGGGACACCTGGATCTTGGACTTGCAGCCTCCAGGCCTTGAGAAAACGCATCATTTTTGTTGTTCCAGTCACCTAGGTTGGGAGACTTTACAATATAGCCCTAGAAAACTAGTACACGCTCTAACTAGGTGCTATGCTGCTGGGAGTTTATCCCAAAGAGTAGAAATTATTTTTCAACTATGAATACAACCACTTTAAAAATCATTTAAGAAATGGGCAGCCAGCTAACTACAGCACACAGAGGTTTGTCAATCAGCACACAGATGATGGAGTGTTATGTATCCATGAATCTAGTAACAATTATTACTAATATTTGTGTAATATATAATTTAGCCATAAGGTCAACTATATTTTTCATTTTTCAAAAGTAGATCGGGGGCAGGCACTGTGGCATAGTGGGTAAAACTGCAGTACCAGCATCCCATATGAGCAGCGGTTTGAGTCCCAGCTGCTCCATTTCCCATCCAGCTCTCTTCCATGGCCTGGGAAAGTAGTAGAAAGTGGCCCAAGTCCTTGGGTCCCTGCACCCACATGGAGATCTGGAAGAAGCTTCTATCTTCAGATTGGCTCAGTTCCAGCCTCTCTCTTTCTCCCTGCATCTGCCTCTCTGTAACTCTGCCTTTCAAATAAATAAATAAATCTCTAAAAAAAAAATAAAAATAAAAATAAAATAAACCAGTTAAGGAAAATTAAGTTGGTCTGGAGATAGTCTGTGATGGTGATTGCACAGCAGTGTGAACGTACTCAAACGTGGCTAACTGGCAAATGCAATGCACATTTTACCACAACAAAAAAATATAAGTTACATACACATACACATAATGTGGCTGAAACATAAAGAAGTGTCTCAAAACTGGAAAAAGACAAAACAAAAACCATCGTGTCTGGTCAGCGGGACTACCTGCAGAAAACTCTTCTATTTTCTTTCACATTATTGGAACAATACTTCATGGGGCAATATAGCGAGCTACCAGTTATATACGCGTTTGGGTACATATGTGTGCACCTAAAAAGAGCTCCGCAATGATACACAAACCTTAAACATGTTTACCTTTGGAGAAAGAGAAGTGTAGAAATTCACCTGCATATCTGAGCTTTTATTTGTATGTATGACATTTTTGATTTCATAAAAGTATTTCAATATCCTAATCATTAAAATTACCAAAAAACTTTTCTAAAAAATTAAGCCCTAAAAGTATACAAACAGGGATGCATGTTTGGCACAGCAGCTGAGGTGCTACTCGGGACAGCTGCATGCCCGAGCAGAGTGCCTGCATTCAAGTCCCGGTTCCATTTCCAACTTCAGCTTCCTGCTAACCTGCTCCTTGGGAGGCTCAAGTATTGGGATCTCTGGGAGATGCAGAGTTCCTGGGCCCTGGCTTCCACCTAGCCCAGCTTGGGCTCTTGCAGGCATTCAGAGAGTCAACCAGTAGATGAGAACATCTCCGAGTGTCTGTTGCCCGCCATTTCAAATAAATAATTAAAAAAAAAAAAAAAAAACCTCTGCCTTTCAAATAAACAAAAAATATTTAAAGAAGAAAAAAAGAATGTATGGATGAATCTAAAAGAATCCTACGTGATAGTAATAAAAAAAAAAAAAAAGGTGGGATACAGGAAGCAAGCTAAGACAGCCAGGTCCCCTATCAGAGTATCTGGGTTTGATACCTGGCTCCAGCTCCTGATTCCAGCTTCCTGCTAGCGTAGACACTAAAAGGCAGTGATCAGAGCTCAAGTCATTGAGTTCCTGCCACCCAGGGAGGAGACCTGAATGGAGTTTGGGGCTCCCAGCTTTTGCCCGAGGCTGCCCAAGCCATTGCAAGTATTTGGGGAATGAACTAGAGGACTGGAGCATTCTCTTTCTCTGCCTCTCAAAAACAGAGAGGGAGGGAAGGAGAGAGAGAGGGAGAAAGAGGTGTAAAGGAAGCTCTTCTTTACAAAGCAACTCCAATACATGCATAAGGAATGATAACTAGAAAATTAGTATTTCTGCAATCACCAGTAAAATATATCATTCACCAAGAATGATCGCCAATTGATGGCTAAAATCATAGGGCAGAATTTTTTTGATGACTAGGATATTAAAGCAGGGGTGGGTCTTAAAGCAGGGGTGGGGAATCTTTTCTCTGCCAAGGACCATTTGGATATTTATAGCATCATTCACAGGCCATACAAAATGATCAACTTAAAAAGTAGCCTGCTATACATTTAATGAACTTCAAGTCCCACCCTTGGCAGGGCCAGCCAAAATGATTTTGTATGCTTTGTACAGCCCTCGGGTCACATATTCCCCACCCTTGTCTTAAAGCATCACCCTGCAGTGATCATCAAAAGGTAAAGAATACGGTCTTGCCCATGGAGGCAGATGGCAGACACAACCTTCACCAAGGGACCAAACTCGGTACAACCAGTAAGGCAGCAAGCTGGCATTGCATGCCTCCTGATACATGCAATGTCATCTTCTTACCACAAATGTTTAATCTGAATCCCGTCATGAGGAAAACAAACAAATCCAGAATACCAAACTAGAATACAAGACGTCTGGCCTAGACTCGAACATGGCAGTTGTGAAAGCCATGGTGGAGCAGCACTGGGCTAGATTAAAAAAGACTAAGCAACCTGACAACAGGTGCAACGCATGAGCCCTTCCGGGTCCTTGAGGTCATGACAGAGCATGTATGTGTGCACACATGCACATGTGCGCACACGCGCACACACACACACACAGAACATCGGAGGGAAGTTTGAAAATGGACTGGGGCTGAAATCACAGCAAATGAGAAGTATTAACTGTCTATACAGGATGTCACAAGCGCACGTTCTTTCATACAGGGAACAGACAATTATCATTACCTTTGACGGGTTAATTACAATATTCCTGGCTGAGCCATGTTCGTCTCCAGTGAAGGCTGGCTGATTGTTGAAGCCTTGCTTTACATTCACAGCAGTGAGTTCATCCTGTTCAAGAGAAGGTATTGATTAAGCAGAAGGATGTAAGAGCTTCAGCTTAATCCCGCACACTGCAGGCTGGGTAATGGCCGACTTCACTATGCTCGGGAGGTGGGAATTGTTGGAAGAGCAGTCAAAGCAGAAAACTAAACCTAAAAACCAATACACAGATGCGCAGAGAAACAGAGCAAGTATGGCAAATGTTAACAGTGGTTGAAACTACATGGATTTCATTATCATATTCTTTTAACTCTTCTGTAAGCTTGAAGATGTTTAACTTTTTTACAAGTTGGAAAAGGAGCAATTGAAGAGTAAGAGTGAAAAATCCCTCCACAGAAACAGAAGACATAGGATTTTCAAGCTACGGAGTCTACCGCTTGACCCCGGCTTCCATGCCAGCCCCTGCACACAGCCTCCATTTCTGCTGAAGAAAGTTGGCTCACTCAACTTCTCAGACCCCACTGTGGGTTACACACAGAAATGAAGCGTTTCCAAGAGCAAGCTTATGACTGGAACCACACAACACCACCACCTACAACTGAGAGATGTTCAGAGCTTGCCAAGGTCTTCCTTACACCTCAGCTCACTCCAACTTTACCAACTCTGAGGGAGATGGCAGGCGCGCATCTTCACGTCCATTTTACAGATGAGAAAAACGAGGCTCTCTTAGCTACAGCAGCAACTGGACAAAGCCAGTACTGAAACACTACCCTCTAGCTCCTAGACCAGGAAGAGAAATTTCCATGACACCATGCCACCGGAGAACAAATGCCACATGAAAATGTGGTCTAAAAATACGAAGCTACAACTCCCACTCGCCTTAAAAAGATCTCCTCCTGCATAGATACAGGAAAACTTTCCCAAGGTCACAACATATCAAAAATAGCCCAAGGCTTAAAAAAAAAAAAAAACCTGCCCTGCCCAGATTATCATTGAGTTATGGAACTAAATCAGAGTTCCTAAAATACAGACTTGAAAGAATAAGAGGGAGAGATTTCAGTAAATGAAGCTACCTTCTGCTCCCCTCACTCCAAGCCAAGAAATGGTCTTAGTGACAGTAGGAGTAATGGTAACCACAGCATAAGATCGAGAATAGGCAATTATTCTTCATAAGTAATTATTCAAAGGGCAAAATGAAAAAAAAAATGCGATTGATCAAAATCACGGCTATGATTAGTCAGAAAAGCTTGGGACAAAATATTCATGACATGCAAGCACCTGACCAAAGTCTACAAAGGTCACCTTGGCCGAGGACCGAGATCTCCTGGAGACACGCCACAGAACTTTGCTTGATTACGTGTGCTCTTACTAATACCTTGGCGGGCCACTGTGTTGGCGGGCTTTCAAAAGACCCTGTTACAGGAAATTTAGCTGTCTGGTAATCAAGTCTCCTCCCAGCATAGAAGGTCACAGAAATCGTGATCCACACAGAAGATGAGCTGCACACACCCATGAGAGAACAGCTCAACCTGCTCGCACATTTTCAAATTGATGACGTGAAAATCTAGGGCAAAACTACATCGCACATACCTTAAGTCAGAAGGTTTCAGCCCACTGAAATAAAGCAAATGCACTAGCAAAGTGTTTTGTTGTCTCGGTCAAGAAAGTAGGGGCACAAATGAGATCATGAGGGGTGCTGGAATGAGAAATTGGATACATTTGTCTAATTTGCCGTTACAGTAATACAAGAAACATTAATTGAGTAGCAGCATATGTTTTTCCTAAAAATAACATTCGGGCTCAATCAAGAGAAAATGTGTAGGGCTGTTGGAACCACTTGGTTCCATTTCATCCTGCTTCACTTTTATTCTGAATTAACACACAGCTCGGTGAGTTGCCATTGTACTTGACTGCTAACTTCCACCGGACGGCAAAGACATGCCTCACTCCCACTCACACCCACTATCACCAGGGGTCAGGGCTCTGTCAGCCACTCACCTTCACCTCAAACGAGGAGCCCCGTGGCTTGCTTGGACTCTCAAGTTTTGAGAAGTTTCGCATCTTGCATTCTAAATCTCACAAAAACATAACCAGCATCTGCCCACTTCTCACCACCACCATCACTGCAGGCTTGCAGGTGCCAATGCCTCCTAACTGGTCCCCTTGTACACTTGCTCCCTTGAAGGCCAGCCAGGTGTGAGAGGTTTTTGCAACTGAAGATCATGTCACTCCAGCTCACAACCTGCAGGAACTGCCTGTTTCACTCGACAAACAAGCAAAGGCCCTAGGAGTTCGTACCATTCCCCATGTGCTCTGAACTCTATTAGCTTTCTGCTTAGGCTTACCCACACTCCCCAGGGCTCACACTGACCTAGCCATGACCTAGCGGTTAAAGCTTCTGCCTGCAGTGCCAGCATCCCATATGGATTCGAGTCCTGGGCGCACCACTTCCAGTCCAGCTCCCTGCTAATGCACCTGGGAAAGCACTTTCAAAAGAAAATGCTGAAGCATGTTAAACTCAAACCCAACTATCAAAAGTGTGGTCCATGGCCCAGGCACACTGGCCCTACCAGGGAGCTTGTTAAAAATGCAGAAACTCAGCACCTCCCCTAATCACAATCTGCTTCTTAACAAATTTCAAAGTGACTCATGGACACATTAAACTTTGAGAAGCAGAGCCACAGGAGTCAAAGAAATTGTGAAGTGCACCACAGTGCAGCAAGTGCAAAATGCAGACTGACCCAGGTGTGTCGGATTGCAGTCTCAAACGGGAGGGAACAGCGTGACATGGATTTTCTGAAATGGTAAAAAGCTCTCGGCACAATTTCAAACTAACAAAATAAAACCTTTCCCCAATAGAATAAGATGTAACAGTTACACTCCGCAGAAACTCGGTGTATACTAAATGTATATGAAAGTCTTGCCAAGAACTGCTTTGAGATCACAAATCAAACAGATTGCAGCCTGAGACAGCGAGACAAACACAGGGGACACAGGACAGTTCTGCAAAGCCCAACCCTGAGCACCCTGCAGACAAGGAGCATACCTGGCCCCACCCACCAACAACTGCCCTCCCCACCCCCCCACCTTCCCACCCCCTACTGCCCACACTCCCTCTGAAAACCACAGCCCTGGAGGGACAGCTTTTATCTTCTAGGACCTGCATCTGAAAGGCAGGTTTAAGAAACATGAAGCTCCACACTGAAGGGGCAGGGGCTACACCAGCACAATAGGAAGTTCCAATTCCATCCTACTGCAGCCTTATGGTGCCCACCTGTGGCTACAGGTGGATGCATCACAGTCTGAGACAGACTAGAAATGCACACAAGAGGAAGGCAAAGGAGCAGGTGAGAACCCACAGTCAGGACCAGCATTGTGCTGTAGTGTGCTAAGCCACCACCAAATGGGCGCCAGTTCAAGTCCTGGCCGCTCTGCTTCCCAGCCAGCTCCCTGATAACGGGCCTGGGAAAGCAGCAGCAGATGACCCAAGTGCTTGGGTCCCTGCACCCAGTGGGAGACCCAGATGAAGTTCCAGCCTCCTGGCTTTGTCCCAGCCCAGCACTAACTACTGCGGCCATTTGGGAAGTGAACAAGCAGATGGAAATTCATTCTCTCTTTCTCTCTCCCTCATGCCTATCCCCCCAGCTCTCTCCCTGTCTCCGTAACTCTGCCTTTCAAAAAATTTGTAAATCATTTAAAAAAAAAAAAAAACACTATCTATATTTTCACCTCCATTTCATGATTTCATGGTGATGCCTAGCAAGCTTGGGGACTGTTCCTACACTTCCAATTCCTTGATCATAAACCACGGTCATAATAGATTCTACTGTAACTGCCTCTATATCCCAGTTGAGGAAATAGAGCGGAAGCTAAATAACTTGCCCAAAGCCACAGGTGGAAAAGAATTCCAAATTGGGCTGGGAGCTATGCTGAACTGGATTAAGCAGTCACTTGATATACCTACACCCTATATCAGAATACTGGTTTGAATCTTGACTCCTCAACTTTTTTGTGATCCAGCTTCCTCAATATTTGGGGTCCCTGTCACCCATGTGGAGGCCCACATGGAGTTCTAGGCTCCTGACTTTGGCCTGGTCCAGCCCTGGCTGTGGCAGGCATCTGAGGTGTGAACCGGCAGATAAAAGATCATTCAATATCTCCACCTTGATTTCTCTCTTTCTGCCCTTTAAATAAATTATAAGTAAATAAATAAATCCAAAGAGTTCATATTCCTAAGCATCATATTACAGACCAAGTATCCTTCATCTGAAACCCTTCAGACCAGAAATATTTCACCTTCAGATTTTTCTCACTTTTGAAACATTTGCATATACATAATGAGTTATCTTGGTGATGGGACCCATTTGTGTTTCATATACATCTTGCGTGCATGGCCTGAAGACAATCACTGTAGGAGGGACACCGTGCTTGACTATGCCTGAATTTTGACTGCAGCCTAACACGTGAAGTTAAGGGTGGAATTTTCCATTTGTGCCATCACGTTGGCCCTCAAAAAAATTTGGGTTTTGGAGTGTTTCCGATTTTCAGACAGGGATGCTCAACCTGTATATGAAAATGGCTGGCATTAGCACTTTTGCCACTGTTTGACTCATATTTCTGGTTCAGGAAAATACAAACCTGAAGCTCTAGTCAGCACCTAGAGAAAAGCCCTCTTGAGAAATTGTAAGGACCTTCGGCTGACTGCAGTGGCTGTCGAAATTTGCATGCATCAGAACACCCTGAAAGGCATGTTACAGCACAGCACGCTGGCCTGGCACCAGGGTTCCCAATTCCAGATGTTCTAGAAGGGCCCAGAATGTGCATTGCTAACAGCACCAGGTGGTGCTGATGCAGGCACCACACCTCAAGAACATGAAGATTGAGGGTTTCTGGCTCCCAGGAAACCAGGGCTTTCACGCCCAGTGTCAGTGCTCCTCTCACCACTGGGAGAAACTGCATGTCCCACCCATGGCTCAGGAGTAGGAGAATTCCAAGAAGAAAAGCCTGTTGGAATTCTCTGCTACACCCCTACCCCACTCCCACTGCAAAGGCACAAATACAAAGCTACA